CCAGGCTGCAGCCCTCGTGGGGACAGGAAATGGAGCCTGTGATTTCGGTCCCAGCGAGGGGCATGGCCGAAACTCGTGTTTTCTCTGTCGCGCTCTGCCTCTCCGCGAAGGCGCGGAGGGTTTGCACCATCGGGTCTAGGAGACCCGCCTCGGAGCGTGGGGCTCCGGAGGGAGAGGAGAGGGAGCGGGATCCTCCAGGGTCTGTTCCTTGCAAAAAAGCGCTCGGTTGGTTATTAGACCGTCTAGACCGGATCCTGGAATTCATGTTTGTGAGCAGAAAATCCTGTCAAAAAAAAAGGGGGTGTGGAGAGCCGTGGCGTCAGCTGGGAGCTACCAGAGGCCTGAGCTTTTCATCCCTATTAGGGAAATGAGGTAGCGTGCGGGCCCGGAGCGCGCTGCTGTTTCGTAAGGTCCCCTCCCTCCCCTCTGCTTTCCGCCCCATAGGCTCGAGTGCTGTGAGTGTTCCTGTTTGAAACACCATCCTGCAGAAAGCTTTTACAGCCATTTTTCTTCCCCTTTCTGCAGCCAAGGATACGATCAGGCGCGTTAAGGTTTGGGGGCCAGAGCAAGTGGCTGCAAAGTGTTTTCGCATCAGAAAAAGGCCGATTCTTGTAGACGTCCTTCTCGGACAGTTTTAAAATGTAGCTGGCCATATACTTTTCAGAAAGCATTTCTTGAAAATAGATGGTTCTGCCTATTCAGCTAGTGGTACACAAGGATCTGACAGGGGTACAGCATAGAGACTGGTTGAAAACGAGATCTTGATGTGATCAGAAGCTTCAAGCACATAGTGATCTTTAATATAAATATGCATCGATACGGAGTATTGTCAAAGTATGTTCGTTTGTTTTGAAAGGAAAAAATGAAATCTCAAAAAACGGTTTTAGCGCTGCTGATCTAATGGTAGCTTAACATCATGAAAAATTCTCTGTATATTTGAATTGGAATGGCTACTTTCACAGCTTTTAAAAATGCTGTAAATGAGTATGCAGCAACAGTTACTTCTTTCTTGGTGTTTTTGCCTGTAATAAAGCTTTGACATCTAAGCATAGCCATCTGGTACTCCTGCACAAGGTAAAGATCTCTCAGCTTTGGAGAATGTTGCTTCTCAGAAAGTGTTTTTTATACTACTTTTCGTCTGGAATTTTAGTTGGTTAGTATTTTAAAGTTACTTTGTTTTTTTTATTGGTTACATTTAAAAGTTTTAAGTGTCTGGAAGTCTGTGCATTGCGATGTATAAACTGTTTGCTTTTCTAAAGTTCTTTGAATGAGGAAGTGTATTGGAATGGCTGAAAATAAGCATTCTTCAACAATTCTGACTTTAAAATGGTCCTTAAAGTGAAATGGCTGTTAAAAGAAAAAATTTTCTAGCCTTTTAAATTACACTTAAAATCCTCCATTTGAAGGCCACAGCTTATCGAATTAAGTCTGAATATAAGCAATGATACCTTTACATTAAGATGTGGGGGAGATGTTTTTCCATGACCTATTTAGGTTTTTTGATTACATACATATTAACACTTGTAAGGTTTTCATTTTTTAAAAAATATATTTTTATTTATTTTAGAGAGGAAGGGAGAAGGAGAGAGAGAGAGAAACATCAATGATCAGCTGCTTCTTGCACGCCCCACGCTGGGGATTGAGCCCACAACCCAGGCATATGTCTTGACCCGGAATTGAACTGTGATGCTCAACCAGGCAGATTTTCCTTTTTCTTTCTTTCTTTCTTTCTTTCTTTCTCTCTTTCTTTCTCTCTCTCTCTCTCTCTCTCCCTCTCTCTCTCCCTCCCTCCCTCCCTCCCTCCCTTCCTTTTACAGAAATGCTATTTTATTGAGGAAAAAAACCTAAAAAATCAAAGAGGATAGCTTTTCAGTGTCTTGATGGTAAATTTAATGGTGAAAATATTTCCCTCTTAATTTGGGAAGTGCTTATATCCTTCTAAAACTCTGATATACTGAATTAAGGTTTTGTTTTAATCAATTAAGAAGATTCTTAAGCAACAGTATTATTGATTTGGCAAGATTATATACATGCATTCAATCCTATATAATAAAACCCTAATATTCAAATTGACCGAACAGTGAAAGGACCGGTTGCTATGATGCGCACTGACTACCAGGGGACAGACGCTCAACACAGGAGCTGCCCCCTGGTGGTCAGTGCGCTCCCACAGGGGGAGCGCCGCTCAGCCAGAAGCTGGGCTCATGGCTGGTGAGTGCAGTGGCTGTGGCAGCAGCACTAAGGACCCCCTGGGGGATGTCTGCTTGCCTGCTTAGGCCCGCTCCTAGACTGCGAGAGGGCACAGGCGGGGCTGAGGTCCCCCACCCTCCAGTTCACGAATGTCGTGCACTGGACCTCTAGTATAGTTATAATTGCAAATATAAAAGTCCTAATATGTAATACAGTTCTTTTTTCTCTGGGCTTTTTGTAAAAATCTTAGTGAATGGGTAACCAGGTGTTTTGTTTTAGGTATATATATTCCTATTTTTAGTGTTATTCTAACTTGGATAGTTCACCTGGATAGCACATAGGATAGTTTAGTGAGCCCTCTCAGTTATCCCATAGCTCACTGATTGAACAATCTGAATCGGAACCATAAGTTAGGTATTAAGACACTGAAACAAGGAATAGATCTTTCAAAAACAAAAATCCAAAAGATTTAGCCTCTCAATTTCATTAAGCAGTTAAGCTCCTTTATTTGTATTAGAGTTGTTTTTTGCAAGTCTTTAGTAGGAACTGCTAGTTTTTTACATTGGCTCTCATTCTAACAAGTTATTTGAGTCAGAAGCATGATAATTTGTTTTTGTTAACCTCATAACAAATTAAAAGGTGGATGAATTCAGTTACAGAAAGGATCATTGACAGTAGATTTGAGAGTTAAGACTGATAAACAGAATTATAAAAGCATACCAGTCTAGGCCCACTTAGCATATGGATTGATGCTTTACACACCCAAAGCCTCTGTCATAGTACTGCAGCTATCTTGCATGATAGCCTGAGTTATCAAGTAAAAGTTAAGTTTGTTATAAAAAATGTGCAGAACATTTTAGATTTTTAAAACAAAATAACCAAGCTTTGGTGCTTACAGAGGTAACCTGCTGAAGAGTTCACAGCCCATGTAAGACTGAATAACTTACTGAATCAGTAAATATGGAAGTAAAAGTGGGACACATACTAAAGGTATCCAACATTCAGAGTTATTATAGTATAACAAACAACAGAACAAACATATTAGATAACAAATGCCTTATCTGATTCCAGTAACCAATAAAACCTGTATAGATCAGTGCTCGCTTCGGCAGCACATATACTAAAATTGGAACAATACAGAGATTAGCATGGCCCCTGCACAAGGATGATAAGCAAATTCGTGAAACATTCCATATATTTTTTTGGGGGGGAGAACTTACATAGATCATCTAATTTTTGTTAGTTTTTGCTTTGCATTTATTAGCTTTTTTTTTTTCTTAGAATGACCATGTGATATATCCCAGGACAGAACCAGAACATTTTAACTGAATTTTTTACTTGAAAGTGTAGTTATAGAATTTGACTGTAATGAAAATAGAGGCTTTTCTTAGAATGGAATAATTGGAGGTATGTAAATGCCAGTGATTTTAAAGTTTAGCATAGATGTTCAAAGGTTTTTAAAAACTAGATTATTCCCCATCTTTCTAATATTGTTATTCCACAATTTTAGGGTAAATTCATATTCAGAGTTTTTATCATTATGACCAAATAAATATTTGTTGCTCCTGAGATAGTTTATTATAATTTTATTTTCTTGTGTAACCTTTTGTTTTTAATGCCTAATTTTTTCATTTGCTTAGTTTTGTCTAGAAAAGTCTTTCTGTACCCTCCAGCAGCTTCATAAAATGTTTCTCAGTGCAATTTTCCACATGGTCAGGTCTGTCAGATATACTTACCAGTTACATTTGTTCCTGTAGTTATTATCCATCCTTTTTGTAGCTGTCCTTCCAGCTTTGGTCTGGATTGTTTCTTTTTAGGCCTGCTGCAGAGTTGTCATCTTGGGACTTCTCTTAGCTGACATTCTGGGAATTTCTTTCACTTTAGGTGAGTCCTTTTTTTCTTGATCCCATGCCTTCCTTTTGGTTTATTCCTTCATTTTATTTTATTTTTAAAATACATTTCTTTATTGATTTCAGAGAGGGGGATAGAGAAACATCAATGATGAGAGAGAATCATCGATCAGCTGCCTCCTGCACGCCCCCCATTGGGGATCGAGTCCGCAACCCGGGCATGTGCCCTTGGTCGGAATTGAACTCGTGACCTCCTGGTTCACGGGTTGATGCTCAGCCACTGAACCACATGGGCCAGGCTCTGCAGCTTCTTTTTCTAAATTTAATTTTTACATTACATTTAGTGTACACTATTATATTGGTTTCAGGCGTACAACCCCATGATTAGACATTTATATAACTTAAATGGTAATTCTGATAAATGCAGTGCCCATCTGATACCATATATAGTTATTACAATATTATTGACTATATTCCCCATGCTGGACTTTACATCCCTGTGACTGTTCAATAACTACCAATTTGTATTTCTAATTCCTTCACCTTTTTCACCCATCTCCCCAACCCCTCTCCCATCTGGCCACCATCAAAATGTTCTCTGTATGTGTGAGTTTGTTTCTGTTCTGCTTGTTTGTTTATTTTGTTTTTTAGATTCCACATATAAGTGAAATCATCTTGCATTTATCTTTCTCTGATTTATTTCACTTAGCATGATTCTCTCTAGGTCAGCGATTTTCAATCTTTTTCATCTTATGGCACACACAAACTAATTACTAAAATTCTGCGGCACATCAAAAAATATATTTTTTGCCGATCTGACAAAAAATAGGTATAATATTGATTCATTCACACAGGACAGGTATTGTTGTATTGGCTGTTATCATTTTTTAATTTGGCAGTCTAAGGGAAAAGAGGTCTGTGCCCTGACTAAATAGTCAGGTTTTGCATGTTTTAAAAATTCTTTCTTTCCCTGCACACCAATGTCCCACTGCACACTGGTTGAAGATAGCTCTAGGTCCATTCATTTGTTGCAGATTTTTTTCTTTTTTATGGCTGAATCATATTCTGTTGTATATGTGCACCACGTCTTCTTTATCCATTTATCTATTGATGGACACTTAGGATTGCTTCCATACCTTGGCTATTGTAAACAACCTATACTAATAAAAGGGTAATATCCTAATTAGACTGGATAGACTGCATGTCTTCCGGACGTCATTCTGGATGTCCTTCCTGACAAAGCCAGGGCCCGGGCGGCATCACTCGGGTGCCTGCGGCCGGCCTGGGCAGCGCCACCCATGGTCCCAGGAGCCTGCCCGGGCAAAGCCGCCCAGGGTCCCGGGTGCCTGCGGCCGGCCTGGGTGAAGCTGGCCCAGGTCCTGGGTGCCTGCGGCCAGCCAGAGGGAGGGAAGCTCGGGTCCCGGTTGCCTGTGGCCAGCCAGAGGAGGGAAGTCTGGGTTCTGGGTGCGGGGGCCAAGGCAGAAGCAGTTAGGGGCGATCAGGCAGGCAGGCAAGCAGTTAGGGGTGATCAGGCAGGCGAGCAGTTAGGGGTGATCAGGCAGGCAGGCAGGCAGAGGCGATTAGGGGCAATCAAGCAGGCAGGCGAGTGATTAGGGACGATCAAGCAGGCAGGCAGGCAGGCGAGCAGTTAGGAGCCAGTGGTCCCGGATTGTGAGAGGTGCAGGCCAGGCTGATGGACCCCCCTCCCATGCACAAATTTTGTGCACAGGGCCTCTAGTGTTCCAGTAAACATCTTTCCGATTTAGTGTTTTGGGTTTCTTCGGATAAATACCCACAAGTGGAGTTGCTGGGTCCTTCTTTGCCTCTTCTTATACTCTTTGTTTTAAAGTCTATTTTTATCTAATATAAGTATTGCTACTCCAGCTTTATTTTGTTTTGTTCCCATTTACATGAAATATGTTTTTCTATCCCTTTAGTTTCAGTTTATTTGTATCTTTTGCTCTGAGGTGAGTCTCTTGTAAATTGCATATATAAGGGTCTTATCAATTCAATTACCCTATGTCTTTTTTTCCTATTGTTGACACTATTACAGCTATCTCCCGTTTTCCCTCACCTGATGTCTTATTTTTTAAAGAATAATTTATTGATTTTTAGATAGATATAGGAAGGGAGGAAAGAGAGACAGAGACAGAGAGAGAGAGAGAGAGAGAGAGAAAGAGAGAGAGAGAGAGAGAAACATTAATGTGAGAGTGAAACATCAATCTGCTGCCTCCTGTTTGCCCACCAAGTGGGGATTGAGCTCGCAATCTGGGCATGTGCCCTGACCGGGAATCTAACCGGCAGCCCTTTGGTGCACAGGAAGGCACCCAACCAACTGAACCACCCTAGCCAGGGCACCCCCACCTTATGTCTTTTGATTGAGGCATTTAATCCATCTGCATTTAAAGTAATTGTTGACAGATATATATTTAATGCCATTTTATTCATATTTTTTTTATCTTTTTCTTTTCTTTTTCTTAAAGAAGACCCTTTAATATTTAATACTGGTTTGGTGATCATGAACTAACTCCTTTAGCAATTTTTTTTTTTTTGGTCTGGGAAGCTCTTTGTCTTTTGATTCTAAATGATAGCTTTGCTGCATAAAGTAATTTTGGTTGTAGGTCCTTGCTTTCATCACTTTGAATACTTTGTGCCAATCCCATATAGGCGTTCTTTTTTAGGTAACTAACTGCTTTTCTCTTGCTGCTTTTAAGATTCTCTCTTTGTCTTTAACCTTTAGCATTTTAATTTTGATGTATCTCGGTGTGGGCCTCTTTGGGTTCATCTTGTTTGGGACTCTGCACGTCCTGGACTTGTATGTTTATTTCCTTCACCAGGTTAGGGAACTTTTCTGTGATTGTTTTTTTCAAATAGTCTTTCAGTTTCTTGCTGTCTCTCCTTCCAGCACCCCCATGAAGCAAACGTTGGTATGGTTGAAGTTTTCCTAAAGGCTCCTTACATTATCCTCTTTTTTTTTTACTGTTATGATTTTTTTTTCTGCTTCCTTAGCTTTCAAATTGCTGACTTGATTCTCTGCTTTCTCTATTGTTAATTTTCTGTAATTTATTCATTTCAGTTAGTATATCCTTCATTTCTGACTGGATGTTTGTTATGATTTCCATGTCTTTTTCTATGCTGTTGAAGTTCTTACTCAATTCCTTAAGCATCCTTATAATCATTGCTTTGAACTCTGTGTCTGGTAGTTTGCTTGACTTGATTTCATTTAGTACTTTTTCTGGAGACTTCTTTTGTTCTTTCATTTGGAACCTGCTTCTTTGTCTCTTCATTTTGGCTGCTTCCCTGTGTTGGTTTCTATGTATTAGGTATAGCTGATATGTCTCCTGTACTTGGTAGAGTGGCCTTGTTTATTAGTTGTCCTGTAGGGCCCAATGGTGCAGCCTCCCTGGTACCCGAGCTGGGTGCTCCAGCTGCATTCCGTGTGGGTTGTGTGTACTATAATATTGTAGTTGAGCCTTGATTATTGTTGGCATGTCACTGGGAGGAATTGGCAACCCATCAGCTGCAAGGACCAGCTGTGATTACAGTGCAAGAGCTGCTATGCAGGGTCTGAATCCATGGAGCAGGACTTGCTTCATTGAGGCTCTGGTACCCACTGAGTCCACCTCTTGAATGTCTCACTTGTAGCGGTGGCTGGGTTGTAATCCAGTGTGGTCTGAAGCTGTCCACTGGGTGCACTGGCTCTGGGACCTCCTGGGAGGTGCAAGGTCAGTCACCCCCTGTGCCCTGCCTGGGGCCACCTGACATGAGCTGATCTCCAGATGACTGCTACTTGCACTGGGCTTAGAGGTTCCCTGGAAGAGGCCAAGCTGCAAACTGAGATTGGCCTCCTCTAGTGCCTAGGCCTGGTGCCACTTAGTACGAGATATGAGGGATACGAGGGCAGGATGCTGCTTATTTGAGAGATTTTAGCAAAGAAGTATGAGCCAAGAGAGGCTGTTTGTATGGAAAAGCCACTGGAAATGGCTTGTGAGGGCCAGCAAGTTGGGGTGGGGCCTGGTCTCTGAGAATCACCAGTGTTAGCAAGGTTAATGGAGACTCAGATATGGCATCTCGCTGCTGGCTCTGTGAGGGGAGGGCTCAGAAAAGGAACAGTGGCTTCTGTCCTTGCCCTGAAGCCAGACAATTTAGTTCCTTCGCATATGTCCCTGGCACATTTCCAGCTGCTGTCCCAGTGCTAGAGCTCAGAGCAAGTGAGTTCAAATAAGTCCATGCTCAGGCCCTTTAAGAGTAATGTCTGGGTCTCAAGGAGCTTTGGTCTCACGCAGCCATAATCCCCACTGGTTTTCACAGAAGTTATGGGTACTTCTCTTCCAGCAGTATTCCTCCTGATGTTTAACTGCCACATGTGGGTATGAGACTAACCTGTTCCCAGTCTCATTGTGTCTTCTTTTATAACCTTAGTTATAGGACTTGTGTTCAGTTAGATTTCAGGCATTCTGAATGATGGTTGTTCTGTGATTTTGTTGTAATTTTGATGTGGTTCGGGAGGTTCTGAGTACCGCATTTACCTGGACTGCCATATTGACCAGAACCTCTATTGATGTTTTTGATATAATGACTACACACCTTCAACTTATTTTTCATTGAACTGTTTAACTTTATTTGAACTTGAAGGCATATTCCAAGACCCTTTTTCCTGTGTTATGAAACTAATATGATCCTATTGCAGCAACTTAGAAACTTTTGTCACGTAAAATAATGGCTTTTAATAATTTGAACTATTGTCTTTCACTCTGTTTTCTGAATGTGTATATTAGTTATAAATATTTTTAAAATGTGGGAGGTATAAAGGCAGGAGGTATATGTGGGAAATCTCTGTACCTTCTGTTCAATTTTTATATGAACCTAAAACTGCTCTGAGAAAAGTCTACAAGTAAGTATACTTATAAATAAGTTCTATAAAAACTGTAGGTTATGCTATATTATAGTTTTGTTTCCTGAGAAGCTAATATAATATCATTTTGTAAAATATTTGTGTTTTGCGATTGTGGTAGATTTATAGTATGTCATATTCTTTATACATGCCATTAAAATTTTATAGTTGTTTTAAATATGTGTGGTTAGAAGTCAGGATTGTGGTTAACCTTCAGGGAGTTGCATTAAGACTAGAAGGGAGTCCTGGCAGGTATGGCTGAGGTGGTTGAGCATTGTCTCGTACACCAGGGAGTCACAAGTTCAATTTCTGGTTGGGCACATACCTGGGTTGCGGGTTCACTCCGTGCTTGGTGTGCATGTCGGAGGCAACCTATCAATATTTCTCACATGGATCATCTGATGTTTCTTGCTCTCCCTCTCCTTTCCTCTTTCTCTGGAATTAATGAAAAACATATCATTGGGTAAGGATTAAAAAAAAAATAAAAGACTAGAAGGGAGTGCAGAGTGGTCCAGAGGTGCTTATTCATTTTTTGTGAAAATGTAGCTGTATACTCAGGCTCTTTCTGTATGTATATTATACTTTGGTAAACTTTAAAGTTTAATAGTTACTGATATAGAACTTTAGGGTAATAAGATTAATAGAGGTAACTGGAAAATGAAATGATGAAATTTCAGATGACTTACTCATTTGTGATTTTAAATATGTAAATAGTTTGTTTTTAAAAATGTGTATTTAGAAAATAATAACTTATATATGTGTCTAAGCTCCAGCTCTTTGTAATAACATTATGTGGATGTATAACAGGATTTTAAGGACTTTAAATATCAAAAAGTAAGAGTAGCAAACTAATGTGAAATGTGAAAACAGCGTATTCTATAATTTAAGTTATATGTGAACAGATGTTCACCTCTGTAACCTAACTCTTTTCTTATACTCAGCAGTGCATATTTGTTAAGTCAATGAATCCCTGTCCCCTCATCTGTTTTCAGTATTATCACTTTAAGAAAAGCACATTGTTGCTGAAACCGGTTTGGCTCAGTGGATAGAGCGTTGACCTGTGGACTGAAAGGTCCCGGGTTCGATTCCGGTCAAGGGCATGTACCTGGGTTGCGGGCACATCCCCAGTGGGAGACGTGCAGGAGGCGGCTGATCGATGTTTCTCTCTTATCGATGTTTCGATATTTCTAATCTCTCTCCCTTCTTCTCTATAAAAAATCAATAGAATATATATATTTTTAAAAAGTATTGTTAGTTTTATAAAATGAAAAAATCTTAATTTGAATTTTTTGTTATTATTAATGACTGTATCTTTTAAGAAGCCTATTAAATACTTGGATTTAATTTTTTGAGAATTACCTATTTAAGTCTACACTTGAGTTATTGATTTTGGTAGCCACTAGTATGTGGCTATTGAACACTTAACATGGTGCTAGTTTGAATTAAAATGTGCTATAAGTATAAAATATACACTGAATTTTGAAATCTTATTATGAAAAAAGAATGCAAACTAACACAATATTAATTTTTTAGTATTGGTCTTATTTTGGAATGTTTTAGATATGTTGGTTAAATAAAATATATGATTAAAATTAATTTCACCCTTGTAAATTTACATGTGTTGTAAACATTATATTTCTATTGGACAATATTGATTCAGTAATTTGATCATTAGGTGATTTGGGCCTGAATGAGTGTAGAAAGGAAAGTAAGGAGGGATTTAAGTAAGAAAGTATGCAGTATGCATATGTATATCTATATATATAATCTACATATATATAAAAGGCTAATATGCTAAGTGTCAACTGTCTGGCCGGTAGTTATGACGCGCACTGACCACCAGGGGGCAGATGCTCAACGCAGGAGCTGCCATGATGCACACAGAGAAATGGCACCGCGGACCTGGCGCCCACAAAGCAACACTTGGCTTCCCCCAAGTGGGACACAGGCCCACCACCACCCCGGAGCGACACCCCACCACATTGCAGCTGCGCTGCAGAGACCCCATGGTGCAAAATGTGGCCCATAGCCCAGAAACGGTGGCTGTGGGTGCTGGGTAATGATGTCATGTAGCAACGCCCGGCTAATTCTCCGTAGGGACGACTAGCCTCCTTGCAGTTTCTTCGGCCCAGGAACATGACTTGCTTTATAGCCAGGTGCAAACATTTCATACTTTAACCAAATGCCTGTGAAGTGTTTTCTTGTGCCTCATCTCATTTGATCCTTGCAGAAGTCCTGGAGTAGGTAGATAGGAGACTTGGTGGAATCCTGTTTTCTTTTCATTAGCCGGAAAACAGATTTAGAAAGCTTAAAACTTGACCTGACTGAAAAGAAGTGGTGGACCTTGAAAATGACTTCAGGTTTTCTCACTGCGCAGAATATAGTCAAACACTGCTGCAGTTAAATATTTTACCTTTTGTTCTCCCTGTGTGATCTACAATAATAATGTGCTTCATGTTGATATAATTACTGCTGTGTTGCTGACAATTACCTGAAAGAGAAATTGGGGTGCTTCACTGGGCTGGAAAAAGTTTAGCTACATCAGAAAGCAGGTCTAATTAAGCAAGTTTATTCTATATCTATAAAAGGGTAAGTTGACTCACGCATGCGCAATACATATAAAGCTCTTGCTGGCGCCAGTTGCACACGTATGTTTCAATCTGTCATTGTTAATCGTGAATTTGGTTGACATTTCTATTACAGAGAAAGTACAAATAGCGATATTAAAATATTTCTTCTAATTAATTTCCTTTCGATGTGCTCAAATTCGTGCACCGGGCCTCTAGTAACTATGTAATTTCTGCTACATTGAAGGATATCTTGTGGTTTTTTTGTGCTTACATTGTGGCTTTGTAATCAATCGTATGCTTTTTGAGGACAAGGACTATGTCACTGTTTTTACATTCTCCTCTACTCTTTTGCTGGGTACATAGGTGCTTGAATAAATACGAATAAATAGGACATCAAGTCTCTCTATATAAAAGCCTAAGTGACTGTTAGGACCAGATGACCGGACAACCTGCTGGTAGCTATCACGCACACTGACCACTAGGGGCAGGCAGGCGCTCAATGCAAGAGCTGTCCCCTGGTGGTCAGTGCCCTACCACAGTCAACCTCCCACGGTCAGCCGAACTCCTGTGGTCCGTCCCCCTGGCTGGCTGGCCCTAGTCGGCCCTGATGGGCCCCAGTCAGGACTGGGCGAGACAGCCCTGATTGGCCCCAATCTCCGGCCAGGCCGGGGGACCCCACCTGCGCACAAATTCATGCACTGGGCCTCTAGCAATTTTACAGAATCAAAGTATGAATTACTAGATTATAGACAATAATTCCTAGAGTTTTTATACCTGTTACTAGGGGCCCAGTGCACGAATTTGTGCACCTTGAAAGAACTGTGGGCCATGAGGCTGCGCTGGGCACAGAGGCGGGTCTCAGCCCATCCTCTGCGCCCATGCCTGGCACCTCCCCCTGCGGCCCCCAGTCCCCTGTCTGCTGGCAGCCCTGCTCCTGCTGCTGCTGACAGCACTGGCACCGCTTGCACCGCTGATGGTGCAGAGCAATTGGGGCTGCCGCCAGCAGTGGGTGCAAGTGGGGCCGGTGCCGTCAGCAGGTGTGAGTGGCCGCTGCTGGCCCCGATCACCCCTCAGGAGCTGGGGGAGGTGGAGAAGCCCTTAAGGGTGATTGGGGCTGGCAGCTGCCACTCACACGCACTGACGGTGCTGAGCGATTGGGGTGGGAAGTGGCACCAGGTGCCAGCAGCAGGTGCAAGTGTGCCGGCGCTGGCCGTGGGTGTGAGCAGCAGTTCCAGCGCCGGCAATGGGTGCAAGCGGGACCATCACCAGCAGCGGTGGTCTGATGCCCCTGCTCACCTGCTCCACCATCCTGCCGTGGCCGACGCCCACCATGTTGCACCAACGCCCCCTGGTGGTCAGCGCACATCATAGTGACCAGTTGTTTGGTTGTTTTGCTGTTCGATCTATTTGCGTATTAGGGTTTTATATATATAGATAGATTTTACTATAATATCACCAGCCAGCCAGATCAGTCATACCCTTTTTAAAAGGTGCAAGGTTAAGGGAACTAACATCTGGTAGTATATAATAGGCTCTAGGTAGCCATTTTATATCTTTTTTCAGTTAGTCATTATAGTAACCTATGAGAAAGGTGTCAACTACCATTTTACAGATTAGGAAACTGAGATTGAGTAATTTTTCCATTGTTATGTTACCAACCTAGGTATGCCCAACTTCAAAGCTTGTACTTTTTCCATTGTAGTTTACTGTATTGATTAAAGTTAGTCAGTTATTTTAAGTGATTTAAAGTTAGTCTAATATTGTGGTTGACATGAAGTAAGTGAAAAATAATCTTAAGGATAAAATGTATACTAAATTTTGTTCGTTTCCTATGTGTATTATGTAGTCCATGTTAAGTATAGGAAAGGGAATTTTAGAAATTTCACCATAGTTCATTGGAAAAATTCTAAAATAGTTGAAAACATTTCCTTTTTTGTGTTTCAGATAAAATCAAAGAAAAAATTAAAGAGAGAGATAAGGAAAAAGAGAGAGAAAAAAAGAAGCATAAAATAATGAATGAGATCAAGAAAGAAAATGGAGAAGTAAAGATGTTGCTGAAAAGTAAGTTTATATTCAGTGATTTTAGTTGTACTGTATTGTTCAGTATACTTACTGGCTTAGTGAATAAAATAAGAAATGTTATTTGTTGCTGAATTTTTCTAAGAATAAACTGGTCAGGCCCTGGCCGGTTTGGCTCCCTGGATAGAGCGTCGACCTGGGGACTGAAGAGTCCCGGGTTTGATTCCAGTCAAGGGCATGTACGTTGGTTGCGGGCACATCCCCAGTAGGGGGTGTGCAGGAGGCAGCTGATCGATGCTTCTCTCTCATCGATGTTTCTGACTCTCTATCCCTCTCCCTTCCTCTCTGTAAAAAATCAATAAAATATACTTTAAAAAAAAAAAAGAATAAACTGGTCAAATTGAAACTTTAATGTAATAGTGGGGAGTTTGAATGTGTATAGTAAATATGTATTTAGTATATTTAGTGAATCATTAAAAAGTATTAAAGGGTTAAGGTTCATTAAACTGTTAGGTTCCTTAAATTATTTAAAAATAGGTTATCTAATTTTGTGTTTGCATTACTAGTCTCATTCATATTTAGATTATCTAAAATAAAAGGCTAAAGCTATTTTTAGCTTGATAGGGATGGTGAAATAAGTGATCTTACAAATATTTGATGTAATCAGATCATAGGGATTTGGAGGGAACAATTTACTCTGAGCTAATTTAGAATAAATCTGAACTATTTCAAGAGAATTTGTGGTAGCATACAAGTAAGGACAGTGTTAAATCCACTCAGCAAGGTAAGAAGAAGAATCATTGGCATTTGGTTGCTAGACAGCTAACAAATTCTTTAGCTTCCCTATCAAGTTGACAGTATGCAGAGCAAAACATTTTCACTTTGATTAATTTTTTATGTTGAATTTATGTGTTGATAAGCCTTTATATCTACATAAAGGAGAAAAGACCATAGCTCTGCATGTGCAATGAAATAACTGGTTAATTTATATTATTTTGAATAAACAGCATTAGATTCTGTATTTTCATTTCATTCTTTGTCATGTTTCCAGATGTTCTTTGATGGCACTTTATTTGATCTCTGTTTTCTACTTGTAAGAACTTTATTTTCTGTAAAATTATGTTGACCTTGAAGAAACATGTCAGAGGTTAACTTGATGGCTACTTAGTTAATGCTCATTGTCCTTTTGTTCTATCTCTTTTGCCATGTATTTTATCTATGTTGTCTAATTAGATTGTAAGCCTTTGAGGCAGGAGTCAAATCTACCACACCAATGCTGTCTGTACAGCGGCTAATGATTAATGCTGGAAATGTTAACTTTACCCTATTGATTTATTCAAATAGCAGTTATTTTTTCTTATCGATTTAAATGTACAGTGATGTAAATTCCTGCCATACAGTAAAATGTTAGATTCCTGACATATAATTAATGTTAAATATGTGAATCTAGAGATTACATATGCAAACAAAATTTAAAATAACCTTAAAAATGAAAGTGTTTTTTTCCCTCAGTAATATGAGATAGTAACCTTGAGTTTAAAGTAGATGAAGAATTTAGGAGATATTTTTAACTGAGTTAAACTGAAACCTAGTGATGATAAGGGAAAAAAATGATGTATATTTGGAAATGAATTGGTGACCTTTGGGGCGACAAGGGGAAAATGCATTTACTGTAAAGTGGAAGTAAGTAATACTGTAATTACTGCCTTACATGGTTGTAAGTGCCAACGACAGTGTCTGGCCCACAGATATTTAATATTAATAAATGGATGAGAATTTTGTAAACATGTATGAAAGATTAACTCTTGTGATTAAAAAACAACAAAACTCTCTTCTCTTCATTTGCTAGTATGTAGACAATTAAATGAATAAGAACTTGATTCATTTTGGGAAACAGTACCTGTCCCATGGTAAGCACCAAGTGTTAGCTATTGTTATTATATAGCAAAACAATTTGCCCTGTGTGTGTGGCCATTTCCCAAGAGAGCCTTCATCAGGGAAAGGTATCCTTTGTTACTGGTGTTCTGGAGCAGCATCGATTTGGTGGGGACAGTATACTCTTATGTGTAACTGTGTGCCTTTTTTTTTTTTTTTTTTTTTTGGGCAGGGGGGAGGGCTTTAACTTTTATCTTCTCTTTATAATTTTCTCCTAATAATGTTAATGTTGTAAGCTGTGGCACACACAGGCATTGATTGTTTGTTGATGGCACTGGAACATCTAAAATAGAGGCTAACTCTTACAATAATCTCATCTCCTCCAGATTTTCATTAAAAGCCGCAATAAGTTGAATATGACTAGAGATGTATACACAGTTTTATATATATATATATGCTAAAAAATTTTATTAATCCAGAAATCTTGTAAATGTTGAAAACATTATTAAAATAGTTCAAAGGAACAAATAGATTCGAATCATAAGCTTTAATTTTGCTCAGTCTTTTATATTAATGTCTACCAACTACTTTTTCTGAGCATACTTATGTGTTCCAGCCTTTTCTTTTGTTATTGATATTCTTTTGTTATTTTATATTGGTAAGAACATAGATGTTGTAATTATAATATATTTTATTATAGCATATCAAAGAAGCTTGCTGAAGAGTAGGTGGAATAGGGGTTAAAGAAGCCAATGTCCAAGGTTATTGGTAGTGTACTAAAGGTCACAGGTAGGTAAATTATGTCAGGAAGAGTGAAAATATTAACAGGTGAAAAAAGCAGTCATTTTCCAAGGACCAAAGGTTGAAAATAGTTAAGCTAATTACTACTACTTTCTTTTCTTTTCTTTTTTTAATATATTTTATTGATTTTTTACAGAGAGGAAGGGAGAGTGATAGAGAGTTAGAAACATCGATGAGAGAGAAGCATCGATCAGCTGCCTCCTGCACACCCCCTACTGGGGATGTGCCTGCAACGAAGGTACATGCCCTTGACCGGAATCGAACCTGGGACCCTTCAGTCTCCAGCCCGATGCTCTATCCAGTGAGCCAAACCAGCTAGGGCATACTACTTTCTTATGTATGATAATAGTTATATATAGATTGATTCCTATATTAGATATGAAATCAGATTTAATCTTTTTTTTAATTAACACTAAAGTATACTAAGGTTAATGGCAGTAATTAATGCCAGTTAATTTGTGTTCTTAAAGGTTGTTTTTTAAAAATATATATATATTTATAACTTATAAATATATATTATTATAATGCATACAGTTTGTATCTCTGTGTATGGGGTTTTTTCTGTCTCTTTGTGCCTCTTTCTGGCTGTGTATGTGTCTGCATTTTTCTCTGTGTCTGGTTCTCTCTCTAGCTCTCTGTGTCTGTGCTGCTTTTTGTATGTGTCTCTGGGATCCACTGTATGCATGTGTTTATGGACCTGTGGGAGGAGGGTGCCCCATCAACCTTTTACTGTTACACTTTGTTGTTGTTGTTGTTTTTTCATTGATTTTTAGAGGGAGTGGGAGGAAGCGGGGGAGGAAACAGAGAGAGAAACATCAATGTGAGAGAGACACATTGATTGGTTGCCTTCCACACATGCCCCAACCAGGGCCAGGGATTAGCCTAGAACCCTTTAGTCCATGGGCTGATGCTCTATCCACTGAGCCAAACCCGTTAGGGCTACTGTTATACATTTTGAGGGTCCCAATTACATAGACAGTAATTCTATCTATATAAAAGCCGAAGCGACCATCACAACCGAACAGACGACCAAACATGCTGCGTGGGGCGACCAGGCTAGCAGGGGGGTTAGTGAGGGACGACCAAATGACCGAGCAGTAGGCTGCGTGGGGCGACCAGGCCGGCACAGGGGTTAGTGAGGGGCGACCAAACGACTGAGCAGCAGGCTGCATGGGGTGACCCGGCTGGCAGGGGGGTTAGTGAGGGGTGACCAAATGACTGAGCAGCAGGCAGCGTGGGGCGACCCGGCCGGCAGGGGGGTTAGTGAGGGACGACCCAATGACCAAGCAGCAGGCTCCTTGGGGCGA